CATTCTGTGCTCAATGCTTGCAGGTAGAATTTATAATAAACCTCATTGAACAATGTATAATTTAGATGTTTGTAAAGATGGTATTGATGATGATGGTGATGATGATGATGATAATGATGATGATGATGATGATGATGTGTGTGTGTGTGTGTGTGAGAGAGAGCGAGAGAGAGCGAGAGAGAGACGGGTGGGGGAACCAATGCAAGAACAATTTACTGTCAACTATATTTTCCTGCTCTGAAAAGAGATAAATGAGACGTATCCAGTGGTTAGGATTTGTGGTGGGAAGGAGGAGAAATACAGATGAAGAGAAGCTCACTAATTTTGGGCAGCAAAGGTTTCTGTAGGTTCTAGCTCCTGCCCCCGTGGAGCTGATTTGGAGTAGGGCAGGCATTAGCTAGTATCTGTGAGGAACTGTCTGACGAGCCTACTGCTGCTGTGTGGGAAAACTGGTCTGCTCGGCAGCTAGAAGGGACTTAAGAGGTTCTGTGTCTGCAACTTTTGGGTCTGTGAGTGAGAGTACAGAGGCTGATGCTTGGGGACTGCCAATGGGAAGGGAGGCAGGCAGAGGCCATTTCAGCTCCCAGAAACTGGAGTTCAGTCTTGGAATGGGAGGGAGGTGTTGGAGGCCTGCTCCTGACTCGGGTGACAGGTAGTTACAACTCAGGCAGGTGTGGAAGCTGAAGTGGAGGTCGGCAGGTGGTGTGACAGTGGGGTGTGGGGAGGACGGGCAAAGGAACTTGAGTAGTCTGGAAATTGGGGGGCTGCAGTTCTGCAGTGGGTAAGCTGAGATGAGTGTGTAGTTTCTGTGGGAAGTAAGGGCTGGGGAGATTCTCCAGGAGTGAGCAGAGTAGGAGTGGGGTTCAGGATGAATTACCAGGACAGGAGCTGCTGGAGAGGTGGCATGTCCCCTGAGCAACAGCTGAGGCAGTGACAGTGGGGAGTTGCGCAGCTGCAGTGTTTTCTTGTGGGACTCTGACACATACTGTGAAGCGCAAAGAGGGATTCCTCTCCACTTGAGCTTCCAGGTTTGCGCCTGGACAGTGACATCTGCTCTGGCCACCAGATTCTTTACCCTGAGAAGGGAAAGAGGACCTGCAAGCTCTGGCTTGTGCTTATGTGCATTGTTCTTCCTTGTCTGCAAACTGATGGGTAAGAAGGCATCAGTAAAAGCCTTGTCAATGAACTCCACAGTTACTTGCTCTATGGTGAGCCAGGCACATCAGCAGAATGGGACTTGATGGGGAATCCTGTCAGTTCTCAGGAGATCCCAGAACCAATGCCCAGGGAGAGTGCAGGTTGGAAAGACATAGAGGTCTGGTTTGGCTTCTCCAGGACTGTGTGTGTGGGCTGCCAGGGTCAGCAGATGCCTGCAGTGATAACTGCAGCTGACTTGCTGAGCTCTTGTTTCCAGCTTTCTGAAGGGAAGAGAGGCACATGCAGGACATGGTGTTTTCTTGGGAGCTTTGTGGTTGCTGGGAGTTCAAGCAGGGCCCCTCACATCCTATATGGCTTAGTCTTAGGCTTGACCACACTTCCACCTGTAGCATTTCTGGGGTCTCTGTCCATCAGAGGACTTTAGTGCCATTTTGCACTTTTCCTTGCAGTCTGATGCTGAGGTTCTGAGCATCCTCCCTGGACTGCTTAGTGTCTGAGCTGCTATTTAAAGGAGTATGGATGGTGTAGTCCCCTATTCTGTCTCCAGCAGGCTCAGCTTCCAGTTACCATGTGTGAGGGCAGCATGGGGCTACTCAGGGTCTGTTTGTGTTATGGTGACTGGATATGCTAATCAAGACTGCACCTTGTCTTTAGGCCTTAGCTGGTTCTTGCTTCATGTGCATGCATGCCTCTGTGTGTGTGTGTGTGTGTGTGTGTGCGCGCGCGCGTGCGCGTGTGCACGTGTGCACTGTGCTTGCTTGCTTGTGCCTAGGTCTTTATGGAGGTGCAGTTGACACACAACCTCTCATCATATCTCGGTGCAGTTTGCTCATCTTCAGCAGTCAGGATAGTGAGCTTCCTACCACCCAAACTTCTGCTCTTCCTCCATTCTCCAGCCTTTACTTCTTTGTCTGCTTTCTGCCACTTGGAGTTGGGTCCTGGAACATAGAAGTGTATAGTGTAGACCTTTCCTGGCCACTCTGATTCAGTGCTGTCATCTGAGGGTCACTTGTGTTGTTTCTGTAGCTCCTTGCTTTATCTCTGAATACTTTCCCATTTTGTAGGTTTTTAGAAGCTGTCTCTCTATTGGTATTTGTTGTTCCCAGTTTGGGACTGTCAGGAATACGACTGCTTCAGTTAGTTCAGGTCCAAGTGTCTCCAAGGTAGACTGGAGTGGAGGGCTGCACCTCATCCTGGGGTGTGTCATTTCCCAAGAGTGTCGGATGGTGTTCGGGGTCCACCTCGTGCTGCTGGGAGTTCTCTGCCCGCATCACCAGTTCAGCTGTAGTAGTGGGTGTAGGGGTTCACATCGTGGGTTTAATTTGCACTTCCCATGCTGGCCTGTGACACTGAGCTAATTTGTTGCTATGGGCTGTATGTCTTTCATCTCTGGGAGGTGTCTGCAGGGATCTGTTGCCTATTTGTAATTTTCTGAGATGTGGGAGGGCAGTAACTCTGTGTGTATTTTGTAAGTCTGTGTATGTTTTGTATGTCCGTGTTCCGTGGATTGGTGGCCAGCATTTCCTCTTAGCTTTTGGAGAAGAGTGGCACCTTGAGGTTGTTGGGGTTTGTGAGTTGCCCACATAAATGATTTCTAGAATACGGTGTTTTTTTCTCTCCTGGAGCGCTAGTCTTGTGTAGAGAGGGCGGATCCAAGTCTTTTGCCTGTGCTTGTCATGTTGTCCTTGCTCACTAGGTTTCTGTCCATCTGTTTTGGCCTGTCTCTACTCTCTAGGTTACTGTGTGGTCTCTGGGAATTTCTGAGGCATTTTGTAGGTCTCCCTTGGTCGGGTAAAAACCCACGTTCATGTCCTAGTGTCATTGCATTTCTTCAGAACATACATGTTTCAGATAGAGCATCTGAAATGCTTTCCTTCCTCTTGCAATGATGTGGCTGGGTATTGCCTTCCAGGTGGCAGGCCTGTTGTCTGCTGTGAGCCCCCAGTTGTGCTGGCATTATGTGAGTTCTGGGCTTCCTTTCCTGAAGTGATCAGTGGTGTCCTGTGTGGTCTGGAGGGCACCATCTCACTTCCTTATTGACATGGCAGAATTCTGCTGCCAGTGCCAGGGACCCTGCCCAGGACATGCCATCTCTTGCATAGTTGCTTTCCTTTTCTCTCATCTCTTGTTGGCACGTCTGAAACGACCTCCTCAATGTATTGCACCCTTTCTCCCAAGTCTCTCCTCTTCCTTTCTGCAGTGTCTTCTGTATGGCGTGGGCGCCCTCGTCTGGCCGTCCTGTGGGCTTAGGAGGTGCAGGTGACACTTGAAGGGCACCTAATGCATTCTTACTGCTGTTAGCAGATGTTTTCTAAGAAGGTGGCACCTGTACATTTGTCTCTTTAGGTTTGTCCCAGGTGTCCAGGATTATTTTTGTCACCTGCTCTTTGCATGGTGACATTGAAAAACCTCCTCACTGAGAATGGCTGGAGGAACTGGGTAATGTTAGCTTCAATGAGGAGTTTAGTCAGAGATCAGGGATGAAGCCAAGGCAGGGCCTATGAGCCACCGTGGGCTGGCTGGGGCCTTACCTGCTGGGCTCCACTGTGTCTGTAGTGGGTATTCATAGTCAGAGGAGCTTCAAAGCTTGAAGGCAGGCTAGCATTGAGATCCTCTTGACCAGAAGACCCCATTAGCCAAGGGAACAGTAGGGAAGACGTGCTTCTTGCAGAAGTCCACAGAGGGTCTGTGCTCCACCATCTGGGCTGGACCGTACTCTGTAGTGACTGGGTATGTGTGACTGCCACAGGACAGTCAGACAGAAACTCAGACACCTGCCTGTACCTTGTTAGGTCCATAGGGAAACACTGGCCACCAGTGTGCTCGTGTGGTTGTGTGAGGTAGTTCTGGAGGGACATTCAATTCTTTAATCCCAGCAACAGAACTTTCTAGATTAAGAATTTACTGAGTTCGTCAGGTAGTGGTAGAGCACACCTTTAATCCCGGCACCCAAGAGGCAGAGACAGGCAGGTTTCTGTGAGTTTGAGGCCAGCCTGGTCTACAAAACAAGTTCCAGAAGAATCAAAGCTACACAGAGAAACCATGTCTCAAAAAACATTTTTTTTAAAAGTGAGTTCAAAGAGGCCTTGCTGCTGTTTCTGATACACAGAGCTTGATAGCATCAGAGAGCCTTCCTGTATGATTGCTTTGACTTCTTCCTCACAGAGAGAAAGTCCAGGGTTTGCTGGGTGTGTAGCTTACAGGAGGTTCTGGTCTCAATGCCCTCCTCCCCCGCATCCCTGTGTCCCATGGATGTGTTACTTTGGAACTGTGTCCTGCTGGGCTGGGCTGAGGGTGTCTGTAACTCTGATGTGGATGTTAAATTTAAGACAGGTGTGTTACTGTTGCTTCTAGAACTTAGGGTACGAATTGGTTGCTCACCTGAAACCAAAATTAATCAAACTTGACTGGTAGAATTTGCTTTCCCAGAGTTTCAAGAACTTTGATGGATGAGAGACTGTTCTGTACCTGTTGTTTTGAACAGTGCCTGGTCACCTGGGAGAAAGCACAGCCCCTATGTCTGACCAGAGCAGTATTCCTGTGAAGAATATAGGACCACACTTTTGTGTAGTTTGGGTATTATGGGTCATCAGTCTGGAGAGACTTGGCCTATGGTGACCTGTGCTCAGAGGCAGGGCCCCAGCACTGTGAGCACACAGTGTGTAGACAGGGAAGCGTGGAGAAGGACATGGACTCATGGGTGTGGGAAGCCTGCACTGGGGGGCGCCTGCCACTTTGTGAGTGTAAACCGGGCACCATATTAGGTTCCCACATCTGAGGAAACTGCAGGGCACACATCGGATCTGAAGCTGTGGCCACTGAACTTGGCTTCACCACTTAGGTTCCTTGTGAAAGGGATGCACCTGGTCTGGTGTGTTTGCACAGCCCCCGCCCTCAGGTGCTGGAGAAGGGAGCGCTTCCTGATGCCAAGTCTCATTTGTCCCCCAGGAATGGTCCTCGTGAGGAGTGAGAATGGGCAGTTGTTAATGATCCCTCAGCAGGCTCTGGCCCAGATGCAGGCCCATGCCCAGGCCCAACCTCAGAGCACCATGGCACCCCGTCCTGCAACCCCCACAGGTGCTCCACCTGTCCAGATCTCTGCCGTGCAGGTGAGTGCATGCATGATGAGTAGGCTAGTGTGGGGTGGTCCCAGCTCAGCCTGGCTCTCACCTACTCCCTTCCCTGCACACTGGGAGTATCGCAAGAGTGAAGGTGTGTCTTGTGTGAGTGCACATTGAGGCGTGAAAGTGTTTTCAGATCAGGCTGGGTACAGGACGGCTCTGGTCTCCTGTTCCCCTAGCTGAATTCATATGCCCTCGGAGGAGCCTGCTCTTGCGGTCAGTGCTTAGCTTGCTGACTGAGTTGGGTCACAGTAGATAGACACTTGGGTCCGCTGCCTTGGTTGAGCCCTGACCTCTCTCTTGCCACCAGTGCGTTCAGCTCTCTGTGTCCGTGTCTTTCTCTGTAAGTGCAGATGTGGTAGGTCATGGACTGTCGGGAAGAACCAAGAGCGAGTAGTGGAGCTGAGCGAAGGCCACGCAATGTCCTCTACTCTCAAGCCTTGAGGTTCTAGATTTTGGTGCCAAGCTGTGCTGTCTGGCTGTGCAGTGCCCCGCCTCCACAGCACTGCAACCCTTTGGGGTCTGTGCCAGCACACTGTTGTATGCTTTGTGTACCCTTGCTTTTGTTTAGTGCCTCCCCTAGATTGGCAGCTAAAGAGATGGTGGGAGTAATTCTGATCACTCTGAATTCCTCTAGGACTGTCGTGTCCTGTAGACGGGTATATGTGCCGAGGTAGGCAGAGCTCCCTGTGGAAATAGCACAGAGACCTCTCTTGAGGTCTGCGGTGGGGGTTTGTTTTCCGAGTGGGGAGTATGCGGTGTGTGGAGGGTTCTCTATGGCAGCGTGCTGGCCTCCTGCGTCTGACCTTTGCATCTCCTCACGCCACTCTTCTGTAGCCACCGCAGGACTTCCCCTTTCAGCCACGGCATCTCTTCACTGTCAGTGCGTGCCATTTCACTTTAAGAGCAGTGCCGTCACTGGGTTTCCTGGTGTCTGCTTTAAAAGACGGCATTTTGTAGACTTGACTAAAAAGGTCTGTTTTAGGACTTCCTGTGAGGTTTCTGATCATACTTCTTTTTTCTTTGGTTTGAAAGTTTGGGGCTTAGGATGACTTCTTTGTGGGTAAGTAGTAAGCTATGGATTACTTGAGTGCACTAGTATGTATTTAGGAATTTGTACATGTGCTTATGCACACATGTGTGTGCATATATGTATGTGTTTCCTACTGTAGCTCATTTTAGATGACTCCTAATTTTTTTTTCAGGCTCCAGGAACACCTATTATTGCACGGCAGGTGACCCCAACTACCATAATTAAGCAAGTGTCTCAGGCCCAGACGACGGTACAGCCCACTACAACCCTACAGCGATCTCCTGGGGTACAGGTAAGGGAATACAGCTTGGTGCATCAGTAGGACTACCTGACTGGCAGAGCGTGCTTTTGCTTCAGGACTTTTTATATTGGGTACCACATTGAATTTGAGGATGTAGGTGCTCAATGAAGAAAGTTTCTTATTTCTGTGTTCGAATGCAACCTGCATTCTTTTCCTTAAAAAAGATTAGCAACATTCAAAAGCTTGTTTTAAGGTATAATTAGGAGAGTCACCTCATTAATATTTGACTCAGGGCATCTTTGAGGAAGTAAAGTCTGTGGTGAGAAGAGTTTATGTCTGTGCTGTGTGGCCCATTACATGCGTATGGACAGTGCTGGTGCTGTATGCAGGTCTTCTCACCTTCCTGTGGCATGTTTGTAGGTGAGCTGGGTGTGTGTGTGTTCTCCCTAGTGTTGCTTTCCTAGCAGGGGATAGACCTCACCAGCTTCACACGGCTTCCAGACCACACTGCCCCCCTGTGGCCTGTTGCTGCCATGACAGCACAACCCTAGAAATGTCCATCTTTCTCTTCCTTCTCCTTTTTGGAGCTAAGGTATCAAGAGGTAACTCTATTTGATTTAGGACTTGCTGTGTTTACCACACTGGCAACACACTTGGAATGCTCTTCTTGACTCTGTCTATTGAATGCTAGCTAGGAATTGTTTGTAAAATAATGTCCTAGGTAGTGGTAGGGGAGAGTTTCCTGCAGAGATACTGGTCATACCTGATACAGGTTGATACTTCTGAGATTTAGCTTCTAGCATATAGAGCCAAGGGGAGGAACTTACATTCCAGGGGCTCCTCCATTGTAGAGGTTAAAACAGATATTAAGAGTTGGGGAAGGGACTGGTCAGGGAGGATATACCTGATCAGAGAAGATATAACATGATTGAAGAGATGTACCTGGCTATGGAAGACATTCCTAGTCAGAGAAGACAGATCAGAGAGATACTTGGCCTTGGAAGGCATGCTTGGCTGGGGAGGCCCTCTCTTGTGAGAAGTGCCTCAAGGGCTCCTGTATTGAGTTTGTGAGCAGTCATCCTGTGTAGGGCTCTGAACTCTGCCATGAAGTGCTTGTCACACTGTGCCTAGGTGATGTGCTCACTTTGATGTGATGTTGCCATGTTCCTGCCTAAGCTGCACCTCCATTGCAGTGGGAATCTGAGCTGGGTGATGGGCTACAGGGCAGCCCTACACATGGGCCGTTCTAAGCTCCATTTTCTTTGGTAGCTGTGGGGAGTAGTTCTGTCCCAGGTTGTGGTAAGCAGCAGAGACATCAGTGTTTCAGGAGCTGGCGTCTAGAGACCTGGGGTTTTCTGGGAGGTGCTGTCTGCTTCTGGTCACAGTGTCCACTCTTTTGATGAGGAGGGGGCTCTAGAAGGCAATGATGCTCTTGGTGAGCTGTGTGTCACGTTCAGTGAGAACAGGTGCCTTGAAGTAGGTAGGTGGGGTCTGCAGTCGGGTGAGGTCTGTATCCCTGGGTCCTAGCAGTCAGGTGGGAATACATTTTAAAGTGAAAACGTTGGTAAGAAGGGTCCCTGGTGTTCTGGCTGCTCTTGGCTTGTTGAATCAGCCTCTTGTTCTGTTCCTGACCCTTATCTTCACATGACTTTTTATTGGTGGTTTTCAGTCACAAGGGCAATGCATGGTTATGACATGGAGACACTTATCACCCTGAATCCGTTGCCAGCTGTAGGGTAACTTGGGGGAGGGTGTAGGAGACCTGGAGTTGAGTCGTGCTGGTGCACCTGTGGCTGAGTACTCTAAGGACTTTCTTTGGTCTAAGGGAGCTGAGGTCTTGCCTTATGCTGCTCCAGAGCTACCCTTGGGGTGGGTGTGGGATGCACACTGCTCTCTGCCTTCAGATGTGGGGTGGGGACGGGGCAGTGTTAAAAACCTGGAGTGAGGAAATGTAGACAGCTAGATTTATAAATTGGAGAGGCACTAATTTAAAAAGTGGTAAATATTTCATCATGATTGCTCAAGAAAAGCAGGACTATCAGGAGTGTCTGAATTATTTGAAGTCTAGGTGCCCATTTGTGTTGCAAATGTTCTTAGGCTTGGCCAAACAGCACCTTTCCACAGTCAGTGTGGCCACACCAGCAGCTAAGTTCTTGTGTCTCAACTTGCTGTGGCTTTTGGCAAGATTCCCTTTTGGAATGCACAGGGTGTTATTAACCAGGGAGTTGTGTAGCGTGAGACCCTTCCTCTCTGGGTCTTGTGTAGACCCTGTGGGGGTGCTTTGCTGGAAGGTCACAGCTACCTGTTACAGGGCTCTGTGCACAGATAAAAGGGTTCTGAGGAGTAGCTTCTGAGATGAGGTTGCTGTCTCTGTGACAGCTCTCAGATTCTGATTCTCAGTGATGGGCTCAAGCCTCAGCTTTAATACAAATGCAAATACACCTTCCAGTCATCATCACTGCGGTCCTCAGTTGTGGGTCTGTCATGGGTGCCCTTCTACATAGCTGCAGGAAGTGTGGACACCCAGCCATTCGGGCACCGTACTTCCCCAGAAGCTGTTTTTCTCTGATTTCCCTTGTGCTCTGAACTCTTCTAGCCTCAGCTGGTTCTGGGTGGTTCTGCACAGACAGCATCGCTTGGAACAGCCACAGCTGTTCAGACAGGGACACCTCAACGAACAGTCCCTGGGGCCAGCACCGCCTCCACAGCTGCCACGGTAAGAACTTCTGTCAGGACCCCTAGGGGTAAAACCAGCCCATTGGTACTAGTGGGGAAATGGAGCTGGTGTACAAAGGAGCTTGAGAATGTTGCAGGGCTCACAAGCCAACTGACAGTACTGGTGGCATAGAGGGGACCCGTGTAAGTCCCTTTATGGGGTGACCTGAGGGACCCTGAGTATCTTACTTGGGATCTGGGAACCCACAGATGCCTGTGGAAGCTACACATGTAGCTGCTGAGCACTTGTGGTCTGGGCACCAGTGTGTCTGTCTTCTTTCACTCCACAGCGTTTCCTTTGTGAACCCGGCGCTTTTGACGACAAGTCAGGGCCATACTTGGAACTTCTTTTTGTGTTCTTTGACAAGTACTTTTAACCATTTCCAGGAGCTGCTTGGGACTTGGTCTGTCATGCACATTGGGCAGCAGCCTCTGCTCCTAAAATAAGGGCTTAATCTTGGTAGATGCATCCTTCCCTAGAAGGAGGTTTCTGGGTTGAGAGATGCAGGCTTGGTGACCCTTAGAGTGGCTGATTGCCCTTCTGAGAAGCTTCTCGCTTGTATAAGAGGTAACATGCTTCTTGAGAGAGGTTTAAATGCTAAGTTTACGTGTCTTTCAGACCAGTACACCTTTGACTGTAGTGATGAAATCTCCTAATTTACACCTTTTCATTTTAATACAGGAAACTATGGAAAATGTGAAGAAATGTAAAAGTTTTCTGTCTACGTTAATAAAACTGGCGTCTTCTGGTAAACAGTCCACAGAGACGGCGGCTAATGTGAAAGAATTAGTACAGAACTTGCTGGTAAGAAGCTCAGGTGAAACTCTACCTTAGAGCATGGTATGTGACCTGCAGCCCATGCTTGGCCAGCCAGGGTGACCTGGGTGGGCAGATGAGAGTTTGTGGAAGATCCTAGAGAAGGAGAGGTGTGTACGGCTGTCAGGATGTGTGGATTGCTGGCTTGAGTGTTCTGGGGACTGGGCTGAGACCCCAACATTCCTATACTTAGATGAGTCACCTGAGGAGACACAGCACTAAAGAAGGGCCTGCAGAAGTGTGCACCTGACAGCCAGTGCTGCTAAGGGGGTTCCCTGCCTTCTCTTCTCTAAAGGCAACAGGGAGGGTCCTTAACTCCAGTTTGTAGGCAGGTGGTCTGTGCGGCACCTGCCCCAGCTGCCCTTGCTACTTCCTCTCCCACACCGTGAGAATTCGGTGCTGGTTTCTAAAGAGGCCTTTGTGCTGCTGGGCAGGACTGGCCTCTCCCGTTAGCTGGTGCTCCCGTCTCCTTGTCCATGGACATTTTATTTTAGTAACTTGCTGTAGTCGGGGTTTGAACTGGGCTCCTTGCATCATACTGCATTGAACTTTGTCCCTCCTAACCTATAGCACTTACATCCTTGATCTTTGAGAGTGTGTGCTTTCTGCTGCTGGGGTTTGTTGGTTCAGCCTTGTACTCTTGATCCTTTTCCTCCCTGAAAAGTTTGCAGGCCGGGCAGGGGTGGCCTGCTCTGTTCTGATGCGTGCGAGATTCCGTCCTTATCCAGTGCTGTCTTCTCCACTTGCTGGTCCAGCAGTCCACAAGGTGCTAGACTTTGGTCAGGACCTGGGGCCTCCTAGCTTATTCTTACATGACCTCTTTGTGGCTTTGGGTTTCACATCAGTCAGACTGGGGTCCAGCTGCTCGTGGTACATGCCATTCCCAGGATCAGAAATATTGCCAGCCTGCATATTTTCTCTTGTATACTTCTGTCCTGCTCAGTGAGGCTGACCGGTCCTCACAGCATCAGTCAGCTGCCGACACTGTGTGCTCCGGTGTCACCGATGGCATCTTCTTCTCTGCCAGCTCTGTTACTCTCAGGACACAGATTACTGTCACAACCCTGTCCTCAACAGTTTACCATTTCTCCTTGTAGCACAATTAACAAAAACCCAGAGACAGAAATTGGGTCAGAAAAGCAAAACAACTCCTAGTTTTGAATGTTTTGTATTGGGTTGGACTTTTTATATCAAATTTTGTATATATACAAATTTGAGATTAATTTTGTTAGAATATGCTATACATCTATTTCTACTCTTGTTCAACATACTGTATCTATACAACTCAATTAACAATGTAATGCAAGTTTCTAGTCCTTGAAAATTATTATTACCAACTGTTTAGGATAATAAGGCAATGCAGGTTAGTAGTTAATCTCCTATTATATTCAAACTTGCAGTCACATTAGGTGTGTTTTGTGTTTTCAAGGTCAAACAAAGATATATTTTAGATAGACAGGTCATCTTCAAACACTTCAGAGATCTACAGAATATGGCATTTAAGATGTTTTAATAACATAGGCTTTTTTTTTTATGACAATGAAACATGTCTGCTTCTGGCAACACCAATCTACTTCAGAGAAGATGATGGGCATTGAAGAAACTTCACATGGAATTTACTTTCTTTGTGGCCAAAGTAAGCCAGTGGTCAAGCTAGTGCCCTTGTGTTGACTGCTACCAGTATGCTGTCCTAATTGGACAAGCAGAAAACAAAAGAAAATGACTGCCAAACATTGTCAATACAAGGAGGGACACCCCTACAGAATGAATATCCTACTTCACAGAAAAATCTATTGGTTATGCTAGGCCAGTAGGCTGAAGATGGATGCCCCAACATTGCAGAGGAACTTTGGGTGACTGTCCAGGCAGCCAGCTGTTTCTGTCATTTCTCACATTTTTTGGAAGTCGCTTTCTTGCACTTCCTGCTTACTCACTTAATATTATTTCCTTCTTGGGTCTCTGAGGGAGTTGAAGATTAGATAGTTATAGTTTATCAGATGCAGAAAGCAAATTAGGATAGTGAATTAGGTATAGGACTCTGGACTCACCAAGATAGGATAAATATGAAATATTTTCTCTGAATTTGTCAATACAAATGGACTAGACATTGTTGATGTACTTATTGCCTTTATATATTGTATATAGTCATTGTACTTATTATATATAGTTTTCTTGTATTAGTTATAGCCTTTTTAAATTTTAGACTAAAAGGGGAAATGTAGTGATATTTCATTTATATTTTAATAAGTAAAGCTTGCCTGGGGATCAGAAAGTAAAACAGCCCCACTGGTCAGCCTTACAGACCAGGCAGTGGTAATACACACATTTAATCCCAGCAGCCACACTAGTTTGCCATAGAAACTGGATGGTAGTGGTGTACACCTTTAATCCCAGCCCTAGAGAGGAATATAAGACTGGAGGAGACAGCTCTCAGACACAGTCTCATTCTGAGATTCCCGGAGTGGGATCACCATTTCATATGGAGGTAGAGATAAGAGCCAGTGGCTAGTTGTTTTACTCTCTGATCTTTCAGGCAAGCTTTATTTATTAAGATACAAATGAAATATCGCTATAGCTCTGCCTGCGACTGTCTTCCCCAGATTTTGTAAGCCCTGGATGGATGTTACAGTAGTTGGTGGTGCCCTTCTGCTTGTAGCATGGGCTCTGCCCCACTTCAGGAGTCCAGTCCACGCAGAAAGCTAGTCCAGTTCTCATCTGTCTTACGGGGGTTTCCAGCTTACACACCGTGTCCCCAAATGTCTCACACAACCATGTATACCTTGCTTGTGGACTCTAAGGCGTCCCCTTTGGTGCTGTATGGGCACCAGTCTCTTCTGACAGGTGCTCTACTCCTTGACAAGGCTGGGCTAAAGTGTTGCCCTTGGCACTCTGTCCACAGCTTGTTTGTTTCCTAACAAAATGCCTGGCACTGGGTACGTGCCTGGTGGGTCCCAAGTGAAAACGTATTGAGTGAGAAACCTGTGGGAGGGTGGAGATGTGAACCAGTAACTGACCAGCTAGACACATGTTCACCAGCTGCTGCTCAGGGTCCAAGGGGACGCCAGACATAAGTGCACCTAGGGGTGTGCATCTGCACACTGAGCAGCAACATACAGACACATAGTCTGTTGTCAGAAGGGCCAGAGCAGTGTGATGCTGTGGTTTAGGGTGTGTGCCATGAAACTGTGTGAAGATGTGTCATAGCCATGCCAATGTGGTTTGTTTCGCAGGATGGGAAAATCGAAGCAGAGGATTTCACTAGCAGGTTATATCGAGAACTGAACTCTTCACCTCAACCTTACCTTGTGCCTTTCCTGAAGGTAATTAACAGCTTATGCTACAGCAGTGTAGTACAGTTGGGTAGGATGTCACGTGCCACCTGAGTTGACTTGGACAGCATGTCAGGTTTTCTGTTCAGAACAGGCTTTCTTGAAGCTGAGCCCCCAGTTGCAGCTCTGGCACACTCTGGTGTGGGACCAGAGCTCCCTGTGGGGAAGAGTTTACCTACAGAGTAAGCTTGGGAACCCTGACAGTATTGGTGCCTCTTGGAGATGCATTTTGTTTTGAAATGCATTTTAGTCAGATTTTGCTAAGAAAATCCTGTTCAGTGAGTGTGGTTGGAGTTGAGTGACAGACGGGGATTAGTACTTGACACTGTCTGTTAGCCGAAGACTTTTGTGAAGGTTTATGCTTTTACGATAGTAGAAACACTTCTGTTCCAGCTGTGCCTAACCCACATGTCTGTCTGTCTGTCCTCAGAGGAGCTTACCTGCCTTGAGACAGCTGACCCCAGACTCTGCGGCCTTCATCCAGCAGAGCCAGCAGCAGCAACCACCCGCCTCGCAGGCCACTACTGCACTCACGGCTGTGGTGCTGAGCAGCTCGGTGCAGCGCACAGCTGGGAAAACAGCTGCCTCGGTGACCAGCGCCCTCCAGCCCCCAGTCATCAGCCTCACGCAGCCCACACAGGTTGGCGTTGGCAAGCAGGCACCGCCCACACCACTGGTATGAAGGCGCGAGCCTGGCATGGTGCTCTTGCCAGCCGCCATGCCACTTAACTCAGCAGCCCTGGCTCGGAGTCTCTTTCTGGAAAGAGCAGGCAAGGAAGCTCCTGCTGGAAAGGCGTGCGGTTGTTCTCTTAAGTAACTGAAATGTGAGCTGGAGGTTGCGGCCACGACTTTGTATTATACTTTTCGGAGAATGATGTGAATTTGTTGGCTCACTTACTGGCAGGCCCCTCAACCTTGTTTTGGGGTTCCTGTACAGGAGCGCAGTGTGCTTAGTGAGCCTCTTAGGAGGATGCTCTCTGGACTTTGAGTGATGCCCAGATGTTCAAACCATTGGGATTGGGGTTGGAGGAGGGTCGGTCAGGCCTTTGCCTTTGGGGTAGAGCCTGCCGGTGGGAGTATTTTAGTTTGACCGATGTTGGGGAGCTGAAGGCTGCTGGCAGGTGGGTATGGCTTTGTCTGCTTTGGATTTTTGACGGGCAGGACGACTTTTTGCTGTGATTGCACTCAAGAGTGTACACCTGCCGCGAACAGTACAGGCTCACCACATCTAGAAAGATGAACTTCAGAAGGGGGCTGGCTACATAGTATAATGTTGTAGAGCGTTTATTTATGTGGTCTTAGGTTTAATTCCCAGCTCTGGGTGGTGGTGGAGGAAGGGGGTTGGAATTGTACTACCTACAGCTTAACCATGAGCAGTTGCTGGTGGAGCAGTGCTGTGTGGGGGGGGGGGTGCTGAGGAGGCCAGACTGCTTGGGGTGCTGGTTTCTCTCTGCTAGCTCGGGCCTTTGTCCTCACTCTTTAGTAGTGAGGAAGACATGGTGGACAGCAGGCTCAAGGCCCCACACACTGGGACAGGAATAACTGTGCCCTTTGCTTTCACATAGTTTAAGTAGGGACCTGTGCGGTTGAGCAATCAGCACATTGATTTACCTAGCGGGTGGTTCTGGGGCTGGCCTCCGCTGTGTGGGTTGTCAGCTATCCTTGAGTGCCAGGGCTCCAGAAGACCCGTCCTTTCCCGAGTTGGCTGTCACTGTCAGACTGGTACAACCTAGAATCTTATCTGGGAAGAGAGTTCTTAATGAGGGTTATCTAGATCAGAATGGCCTGTAGGCATCTTTATGGGGGATTGTTTTGATATTTGGTTGATATGGGAAGATCCACCCTGAATGTGGGTATCACTGCTTCCTGGCTGAACAGAAGGGAGTGGTCAGGCAACATGCTATTTTTTCTCTCTCTTGACTATGAATGTGGTGTGACCAGTTGTCTCTGTTTCTGCTTCTGTGACTTCCCTGCAGTGGTAGACTGTGACCTGGAGCTATAAGCCAAATAAATCTCTTTCTCCATCAGTTGCTTCTGGTCAAGGTGTTTGGTCGCAGCATTGGAAATGAAGCTAGATCAGTGCTGTTCTTTTTCACAGTGTGAGCAGTAACCTGGCCATTGCTCTATGCTGTCCTGATCCACCCCAGACTCTACTTGTGCCTGTGTGTGTAGATGAGGCAATTTGGTCAGCTTCGTGCAGATCTGTAGAAGTGGGCTTTTTCTGTGTTTGCAGTTAGTGTCTTCTCAGTGGAAACCCAGCCTGAACTGCCCTGGGCTCATCCTTAGCTGTGAGTGCCATGTTTTGTTGCAGAAACAGCTCTAGGGCAGGCCTCAGCCTCAGTCCCCTGCAAGGTCCTGTCCCACCAAAAATACACCCTCGACTTTTTTTTTTTTAAAGCAGAGTTGGGGTTCAAATCTAGAAGGGCTTCAGACTCCTATGCAGACATCGTACTTTTCTGTTACACCATCAGCCACACAAAAAGTCTCCTTTACAAAAACTTGAATTCTTACTGGAAAGTTCCTAGCACAGATTTATGGTCATGCTCTCAGTGGCTTCCTGTGAGCCGTGCCCAGAGCACAGCCAGTGCTGCGGGCTCTTGGAGCCTGTTGTAAGCCTTGCACAATATGGCAGGACAGCAGAGCTGAGCCAGCCCTGAAGTATGGGGCTTGGCTCAGCATGGGCTCAGAGGGGGATAGGCTGTGATGCCAGAGGACCAAGTTTAGGGCAGGACTTGGAGATTCATCTTCATGCCAATAGAAAAATCATCTGGTCCTACAGAAAATTTAAAATGGAAATAAGTCACTTGAGTGTGGCTACCAGGCAGCAGTGTTACTCTGCGGACGGGGTCTGAGCTCAGTAATCTTGCTTTGCTGTTGCCCTTCAGGATCCAGTGCAGGTCCCAGGTGTCATGTGCTCCATATACTTGCTCCGCTGTGACCTTTGTCTCAGTCTTTCAAAGCTGTGTGTAGAAGGTTATTTATTATAGGGCTGTTGAACCGGGCTTTTAGACCTGGAATGAGATGTATATCCGACTTTCCTGGAGCTTCTGACAGGGCAAGGTTGGGGTAGGGCTGATGAAGCAAATAGCTGGCTTCATGGGTCAGTGTGGTGGCCTCTGGGTGTGTGTGTGTGTGTGCTCATGCACTATGTGACTGTGCCCCAGGTGATCCAGCAGCCCCCGAAGCCTGGAGCCTTGATCCGGCCCCCGCAGGTGACCTTGACGCAGACACCCATGGTCGCATTGCGGCAGCCTCACAACCGGATCATGCTCACCACACCACAGCAGATCCAACTGAACCAGCTGCAGCCAGGTGAGGCCCCGGCTGCTGCCATCCAGGACCGGCTGCTGCCACCCAGGACTGACTAGTCTTGGAAATGGCCAGTTGTGGGATAGTATTTGATTTCATTTAATCATTGTGATAAAATTCATATAACAGACAACTCACCATTTAAAAAATCATTTTACGCACACCACTCAGTGACATTTATGAGGTTATGCAACCACTGCCTTGTCAACATGATCTTTAAATTACCTGAATTATATATGATTGCCCCTGTGAGGTCACAGACCTGGCTGTCTTTCTCCCTTTCCTAGCAGTCAGGCCACGCCTCCTGCAGCGCTCAGGCCCTCTCACACCTGTGCTAGTGGTCTGCGTGCTCTCAGCACCCCCGTCTTCTCTCCTCCTCTGCTCTCACCCCCTCTTTCCTAGAGTTGACAGAAAGTATGCTGTGTAGTAGCCTTGTAGCACCTCCCTCTGAAGCTGCAGAACCCCCAGTGCCTCCTCAGGGCACATAGGCTAGTGCAGGCCGTGTGATGGAAACGTTATTCTCACCCAGAAACCCACTCTGTCCTTGTGCTTTCTTCTCTCCCTTCCAGGCCCCGTTAAGCTTCCTTTGGAGTTGCTCTGTCTCTTCTAAGGCCTGACTATGGCTCCTCCCAATAAAGTTCCTTCTGAAGTATAATTCTCTATCAGTTCCTTTCCACTGTATTTAGGCCTTTAGAGTATAACAGTACACAGTCCCCCTTAGGCCTTTAGATTATAATGGCACACCCCCCCCTTAGGCCTTTAGATTATAACAGTACACGCCCCCTTAGGCCTTTAGATTATAATGGTACACCCCCTCCCTTAAGCCTTTAGATTATAACAGTACACACACACACACACACACACACACACACCCCTTAGGCCTTTAGATTATAACAGTACACCCCCCCCCCGTAGGCCTTTAGATTATAACAGTACACTTCCCCGCCTTTAGGCCTTTAGATTATAATGGTACACACCCCCCTTAGGCCTTTAGATTATAACAATACACACACACACACACACACACACACACACACCCCTTAGGCCTTTAGATTATAACAGTACATGCCCCCTTAGGCCTTTAGATTATAACAGTACACCCC